CGCCCGGCTAATTTTTGATTTATTGTAGAGATGAGGTCTCACCAAGTTGCCCAGGTGGGTCTCGAAACCACGGGCTCAGGCAATCCACTCACCTCAGCCGCCCAAGACATGGGATTACAGGCTGAGCCACCAAGCCCGGTTCGACCTCTTTTCTTTTTTTTGAGTTGGAGTCTCAGTCTGTCATCCAGGCTGGAGTGCAGTGGCATGCTCACGGCCACCACAGCCTTGACCTGCTGGGCTCTGGTGATCCTTCCGCCTCAGCCTTCCAAGTAGCCGGAACTACAGGCACGCGCCACCATTCCCGACTAATTTTTTTAAATTTATTGTAGAGATGAGGTCTCACCAAGTTGCCCGGGCAGGTTTCAAACCTGCGGGCTCAGGCAATCCACTCCCCTCAGCCTCCAAAGTGCTGGGATTACAGGCTGAGCCACCGAGCCCGGCCTACAACCTCTCTTTCAGGGAGTACAAGCCAATATGTTCACACATAAGGTAGTCAGGAGATGAGACAGCCTCCATCCTGCTTTCCTTTATCAAGGTGATTTCACCTTCACAGGTGCAAATGCTCCTTCTTAATCACCTGCAAAAGGCTTCCAGAACCTCAGAAACAGTAGATGAAGAATTTCCCAACCTCAGTATCTCAGGCTCTCCAACTCCCAACTCAGCTACACAACAGTTATCTGAGTAGTATAAGCCGGATTCAACATTTAAGGGTGTTTTCTTTCTTTCTTTCTTTTTTTTTTTGAGTTAGAGTCTCACTCTGTCACCCAGACTGGAGTGCAGTGGCCGCTCCAGGCCACCGCAACCTCTACCTGCTGGGCTCCAGCGATCCTTCCGCCTCAGCCTTCCAAGTAGCTGGAACTACAGGGGCACGCTACCACACCCGACTCATTTTTTTGATTCATTGTAGAGATGAGGTCTCACCAACTTGCCCAGGTGGGTCTCGAACCCGCGGACTCAGGCAATTCACTCACCTCAGCCTCCCAAGGTGGGATTACAGGCTGAGCCACCGAGACCGGCTAAGGGTGCTTTCAAATACAGGCTAAGTGGCCAATTCTGATACAGCTATTTTTAAAAATATGTAACACATATACAGAATCTAAAGCTACTATATATATATATATATATATATATATATATATA